TTAGTACTTAAAACAGGGAGACTGGTCAGATTGGGACATGGTTTTGTCCCTGTTGCTGGTGGGGCAACTTCAAAGCTTAGTTTTAAATATTTCTACTGGAAAGTATGTAAGGGCTGCTCACCTGTGTTTGGCGATTACAGACCATCTTTATGAGTTTCCTGGCATGGCACAAGGGTGCCCTTGAGCCGTCTCTGATGATCTAAGCCATGCAGCCGGGTCTCTCGAAAGCCTCCTCACACTCTGTCCTTTCTTGACTCTCCACTTAATGAAAAGTATTGGCAGGGCGTGGTGCCATAGCCTAATGACTAAAGTCCTCACCTTGAATGTGCTGGGATCCCATATGAATGCCAGTTCTAATCCCAGTGGCCTTGCTTCCCATCCAGCTCCCAGCTTGCAGCCTGGGAAAGCAGTGGAGAACAAAGCCTTGATACCCTGCACCCATGTTGGAGACCAGGAACAGGCTTCAGATTAACTCAGCTCTAGCTGTTGCGGCCTCTTGGTGGGTGAATCAATGGACGAAAGATCTTTCTCTCTGTCTCTCTTCCTCTCTGTATATCTGACTTTGCAATAAAAACAAATAAGTCTTCAAACACATGGAAACAATCCAGATATGTGTCCAAGGAAGAGTGGTTAAAGAAACTGTGGTACATCTACTCCATGGAATACTATTCAGCTATTAAGAAGAATGAAATTATTCTATTTACAAGCAGGTGGTCTCAACCAGAGACCATTATGCTCAGTGAAATGAGTCAATCACAGAAGAACAAATACCATATATTCTCTCTTTTATAAGGAAACCAGCATAGAAAGTGTAACTTCAATAGTCACTTTTTTTGGATTGTTTGTTTGCTTTGTTGGCTGTATCCCATGTGTTTTGATATTTTTTATTTCAGTTTGGTTCATTCCAAATAATCTCTTTTCTCAATTGAATTCATCATGGGCTCATGAATCATACAATGGCATCTTTTTTCCCAAGAGACTTCCGTGTTTCCTTTTTGTAACTAATGTGTTGGTTACTCAATGGTGCATTTTTTCCCCCATGGTGCTGTAATTTGTTGTTGTTGTTGTTGTTGTTGTGGCTGTTCTAACTCATACCAGTTGTTGACCTTGTTTCATGGCTTCTCACTTACGGTAATGTGTAGTGATGGAGTACCAGGGTCTATCATACACAGATGTAGGGGTATAATGGAACATGCATCCTTGCATCCAGACGAAAGACGGATTCCCCATAAAACTGTTGGACATGTGTAGACGATGGGATGCTGGACTGTCTGACATTGTCTGTATTAACAATGTCGGGGTACACTTAAATGAGAGACTGATAGAATTAGATTCCTTATGAAGAACTACACTATTGTAACAAAATGGGAAAAATCTGACAGGGGATGGGAGTTTTGGGTGGAATCCCAGCCTATATAAAATTGTAACACGTACATCCAAAAACAAAATAAAAATAGATTTTAAAAAGAAAAACAGAAAAAACCAAATAAGTCTTAAAAAAAAAAAGTATTGGCAGACCTTTTGAAAGCAATATCGTATCACTGACAAAGTCAAATTGACATTGGTTGGGGTCTTGGTCCCAGAACTTAATCACTATATGATTTGGTAGGGAAAATCCTCAAACTCTCTGCCATTTAATTTCCTAATAGTAAAATGAACATAATCAAATACACACATGAAAGGTGGGGAATATTAGAAAGACTCAATGAAGCACTGGATGCACAGTAGACTCCCAGTATATACATTACTAACATGCACTTTCTCCCATACATTAACATCTCTGGAATCGGGATGTCTATGTGTATATATGTGTAATGTCTTAGGTTTGAGAACATGTGGTTGCAGTAGAGAGAGATTTACCCAAGTGAATCCAGTTGATCATTGGTGATGCTATGGAGACTTAACTAACCAAACATGGACTTTCTGAAGTGAGCGTATCACTTGGTGCAATGGTGAAATTGCCTCTTGGGATGCCAGCATGCCATAACAGAACACCTGGATTCAATTCCTCGGTCCGTTTCCAGTCCAGCTCAGTGTGAATGTGTGTTCTGGGAGGCTGGCAGCGTGCTTCAAGTCCTGCCGCATATGTGAGCAACCCAGATGTAGTTCCTGCTCCTGGCTTTGGGCTGGGCCAGCCCTGACTGTTGCCGACAATTGGAGCGTGAATGGAAGATGGAAGATCTCTCTCATCCTGCCTTTGAAATATATAAATAAATGTCTAAAATAATGTTAATTTCAATTGACCCTAGAATGTTGCAAAGATTCGTGGTGATTCTACATTTCAGGATACCAGAGGATACAAGTATGTATTTTGTTTATACAACCACAAAGGTTAATTCTCAGAAACACTTTCAAAATTCTAATATTATTGTATGGTGCAGACAAGGCACACCAGGAATGGGAAAAGTGAGTTGTCACCTCCGTGTTAAAGAGTACTCCATGCTCCTTTTTGACCTCCTCCTTTCCCTCTGTCTTTTCCAACTGCCAGGAGTTACACTCGTGTGGATTCAGACTCGGGAATTCCAACAAGGCCAGCAGAAGAGTCACTGCACATCAGACTGTGTGTGGGAGCACCTGGTTGCAGGATACATGGAAAGAGTTGGTGAGTTCCACCTTTCTCACGCTTATACTTTATTTCACTTAATCTTATGCCATAGACATCATCCTATGATTTTATTAGTCACATTTTAATAATTGTATATGGTAAACACCATGTTACTATCTAATTAAATAATTGTGCATTATTTAGCTAACCACAATTTTCACTTGGGGTGGACCTTGTGGAATAGCAGGTTAAGTCATTGACTGGGATGCTTATATCCCACATGTGCATTAATGGGAGTCTTGGCTGCTCCTCTTCTCATACCGCTTCCTGCTAACACACCTGGGAAAGCAACAGAGGATTGCCCAAGCGTTTGGGCCTCTGAACTCTTGTAGGAGCTGAGGAAGAAGCTCGTGACCCCTGTCTCCAGCTGTGGTTGTTGAGGCTAATTGGGGAGTGAACCAGAGGGTGAAATATAGATATATATACACTGCTTTTCAAATAAATAAATAAATACAATCTTTTAAAAAATTAAAGAAGTACCTTTAATCCAAGTTTATTATTATTGTTATTACGTATTATTTACTTAGAATAGATGCCTATTCAAAAGCAACCACAGATAAACAAAATGACTGTTAGGAGGGAAAGCTATCATGGTTTTGTTGGTGAGAGGAGTCTTCTCTGAGGTGGAGAAAGGATGGGCCTAGAATTTGTAGACTAGTGAGTGCAAGGGAGGCAGGAACTTGGTGCCCGGATCATCCAGGAGATGATCGGGGCATGCTTTGGCAAGCCTCTCGTGTTCATCAGGAATTCTTATCAGTACTCTTGGTGTTGCTGCTGTCCTGAGCACAAAACACCAGATAGTCTTGAGGGGTCCATGAAAAAGACATACACTGGAATTGCAGGATCATCAGAAAGAATTCACAGCCATGTTTAGTCGCTAAGTTCTGTGTGATGTCTTTGCCTACAGCCCCTCCAGACCCTTTGCAGGGATTTCTTTTGTGACCTTAGGTGCATGACAACGAGGTGGGAAGGTTCGCTGCTCCCCGCACACAGCGTTCTTGTCCTGAGTCTTGGTGTACGCTTTGCCCTCTGCGTCTGAATCCCTTCTTTCCTTCCATTGTCAGACTAGCCCTATGTACCTGCTGCTTGCCAGTTTCCATTTCTTCCTTAATCAGAGAACATCCACTTGGTTCCAGTTCTGAACAGCAAGATCTTCAGTGTTGGTGGGAGAACCATGCCTGGTCTATGTCCATTATGGTAGTTTTATGCCCTGTTGGAAACAGTTTGAGGACTGTGTAGGCAGCAGAGCGTGACTAATGGGCCCATGAGAGCATCCACTTCTGGGAGACATTTTTAATCTTATTAAATCATGTGAGCTTGCCCCCAGCCTGCCCAGATCCTTTCCAAATTAGAATGTTACTGTTTGAGGATGTCCACTTACGGAGCTTTGGCAGCCATCTTGCGTTATGAGGGACCACATTCCTGACCTCCAGTATGATGTGCCCTGGGGCACATCAGCAGCTTGCCACTCATCGGCAGCCCAGCACTCACCCATGGTCTCAAGACACAGACTGAACAAGAGTTAGGGACACTGTGTACCAAACTAGCTATATGAGGATGCTATTCAGCTGCACCAAGAAATATTTGATTAAACAAACCTTGGCTTAGTTTCCACTCTAATGTGAAGGGCCAATGTGATGGCTGGAGAAGGGCTCCAGTGTCCCAGGTCCCTTCAGGCCCTTTTGGGCTGCCCCTAGCTCCTGTGGTTCTTTGTTGCTTCAAGTCTCATTTCCCTCCTGTCTTGTATCCCTTTTCTAGAGGGAATGCAATGCGGAAGAGAAGCCTGAAGGATCAAGCACTTAGAAAACCAAAGAAAATGTTTTCTTTTAGCAGAAATTCATCAGCCACTCCCCGACATTTTTTTTTATTATAAATACAGGTATCAACACAATCCTGAATATACTTTTATACTACTAGTAGTCAGCACCCACACCGCTTCAAAATTTTAACACAATTTGTGACAATATTCACTGTACCTGCTACTTAAACGATTTCCACTGCAGCTTTCACTAAGCAAGAAGGATAAAGCATGGCATGTCTGCTTGTCCTTCTTGGGATTTTTACTTTTCAGAAACACCTGTTTCCACTGCCATTTGACACGTCTCACCATGCTTGCGTCTTGTACACCCGAATCCTACTCGGAGCACTCCAGGTCTATGTTTAAATGACAGTGCCTCAACAAGAGAAAGAAAAAATTGTGCTGCATTTTTCCTCCTGTTAGCTGAAAACACAATGGGTGTACATATATTAAGTATAGTCTTACAAATGTCCGGGTCACGTATACCAGCTGGAATTCTTTACTGAATGTGGGGGTGTTTTGCATTGTGATATTTAATCAAGACATTAATACGAGTAGAAGGTTGTTGATTTAAGACAAGTTTGAGAGCCACTAAAATTAATGGTTGTATGTTTGTCCTTCTGGTGGCTGTGGAAGCTTCATATTTTCTTTGGACACTGTTAGACGTCTTAGCTCCTGAAGTACAACTTTAATGCTATATGAATTTTGCCATTGTGCTAATACTGGTATACTTCGTGCATCCACCATTCCACTGGAATTATTTATCCAATTCATATTAATTTTTGTTACAAATCTAACTGACGGAGGAGCTCTGGGTATTAAGGGCCACATTCTCTTAGTTCGTCCTTGGTGGCCCCATATTCATGCCTGTCCACCTTGTAAGTGTCATATCTTCAACATCTTCAAGGCCCCAGCTAACCGCACCATCACCTACTCCTTTTTGTCCTTCTTCAAGTTCTTCCAGCAAGCGAAAATTACCAGGAACTTTGACTCCTGTGGACACCACCATCTTCTCCTGTAGTCCAAGCCAGCTGCCAGGAAAATGTTTTCTAACAATTTCCCTAGAACTCCTTACTGGCTGCACTGGTCATGGGACCATTTATAGGGAAGCTTTGTTTTGTTTTCCTGGGGTGTTTCGTTTCACTCTGCCACACTGAAGAGGATTGAAGAGCCCAGGGAGGGAGGAGGTGGGCTGGAAGGCGGCCTGGAAAGCTGCTCCAGCTAATGGAAATGGGCACTTCTGGCACTTGTCATCTTCGAGGTGCGAGAGGAACACCAGACTCGTCTCCCACCTGCCGTGACACCAGACTTGGCAAAGCAACATCCTATTTTTCATTCTTCAGTGAGGCAAAGGAGATCGCACCCATGAAGGTCAGAAAGAAGAACCACCTTATGACACTATAGTTTAAGCTGATGCTTGCCGTGCCGGTATTCCATAGTGTAGTTAGAGCTAGCTGGAGTCCTCCTGCTCTACTTCTGGTCCAGCTGCTTTGCTAAGGCACCTGGGAGAACAGTGGAAGATGGTCCAGGAACTTCGGTCCATTACCATCTGTATGGGAGATCTAGTCTAGCTCCAGCTGTTTTGGTCATTTGTGGAATGAACCAACAGGTGGAAACCTTTGTCTCTCTTTTCCTCTCTCTCTCTGACTTTTAATAAACAAAGTAAGTCTTAAAATGGAGTTCCTCCTCAGGGTTTTATGACCAAGCAATGCTGAAATACTTTTTTTTTTTTTTTTATACTCGTTTCTCTCCCCGTGGAAGATTCCATGATTTCCATCTAAAGTCTTAGCACCTGCAGGGTTTTAGCTATCCCAAGTGTCCAGGTCACCAGCAAGACCCAGACTATCAGGATCTCTGCAGAGGGGACCCAAGTCTCAGGTCCCCAGGAGATTCCTGTGTGTAGCCAAGGCTGAGAACTCTGCCCCAGAGCAGTGGTTTGAAATCCTGGCTACCATGAGAATCATCCAGGGGGCTTTAAAAAAAAAATGCTGATGCTGAGTCCTGCCCCAAGAGACTTGAGTTTAATTGGATTAAGGTGGAAGGGGGGAGGGTGGGCAGTGACTGCATTTAAGATTCCCCAGATGAGTCTAATGTGCAACCAGGGTTGAGCACCAGGGAAGAGAGGAGAGAATCTTTACTTGCTTGCTTTTTTTTTTTTTTCCCTCCTGGGCAATAAGATTGCTATGGTGCTGTCACCTGGCATGTTTACATGCACAACTGGGACAGGGGCTCTCTGCTTAGGCGGCACATTAGAGGCTCCTGGGGGAGTCTCAAGATGTCTAATGCCCGGCTCTGTTCCCTGAGACTTTAATGCAATTGTTCCGGGCCCTGGCATGATTCCATCTGCTTGCTTTCAAAGCTCTTCTATGATTAGTATATATACCAGGGTGAGAAACACTGCATAATCATAATAAGGGTCCTTGAAGAGTCACAGCTGCTCTTGTGGAAGACCAAGTGAGTGCGCAAGGGGGCCGGGCTTGTTCCTATCAATGTCTGCCTCTTTTTCCGTTGTTATTGTTAGTTCAGTGCGCGTTCAACACCCGTGAAGAGCCCTCTCGTGGAAGCAGAGGGGCTGCTCATGCCCGACCTGCTGTCTTCCTGCCGCCCAGCATCATCGCCAGTTTCTGAAAGGGTGGGAGACTCCCTGACAGCGTGGTTTAAGATATCAAAGTCTGACATCACCTACTGAAGTCTGTACTCAATCCACTGTTTAAGTGAGATCTGCCTTACCTTCCTCCCCCCTGCCCTTCTCCATCAGTCTGTTTGTGAAGGTCTTCGTCAGAAGGGTTGTGTAAACAGAACAACCAGCCTGAATGTGTTATGGCTGTGACAGATGTTTCTGGAAATACAAGTGTGCCCTGCGCGTTAGGAGCCGCGGCTGCCACACGGCTCGGTTCCCTGCCTCCCTCTGTGAAGGCAGCAGGTGCTGGCAGGAGGACACTCAAGGACAGAAGCCTCTTCCTCCCGCTGCACACCACAAGCCGCTACCTGAATGGAGGATGCTCTGGGCTACGGAGAGCAGAGATCGCCCGCAGCAGCAGGTGGGCGGCTTGCCCCCGATGGACACAGGTTAGACGTGGGCTGGGTAGACTCCCTGGTAGAGGTGACTACCTCACCCCTCACCCTTCCCATGGTCCTTCCCCAGAGGCACTGTTTGCACTTGGATCACATTCAGGCTCCCTGGAGTTCTTTACAACTCATCTCCAGTGGCTTTGAGTACAGTTGTATGCATGCCCATTTGCTCTTTGGTGAGTGTCCACACCCTGTTGTATGACCTTTGAAAGCTGTGACCCCTCACGTGCTACCTGGCTTGCTTTATACTGCAGAGCTATTTCTTTCACCTGAATTTGACCTGAAAGACCAACAGGTTAAACAGCGGGCACGCAGAATCCTGGCAGAGAGAGGGGGCACGAGGTCCTATCTGCAACCGCCCCTGTTCCCCCATGAGCACAGCTGTCCAGCTGCTCTGCACATCTCCGTGTCCTGGAGTCATGCTCAGAAGAGGGCACGCCCTGGAGGGCCTCTCTCCTGACTGTCAGTCCTGTTGGCCACAGGCTGCCAGTGGCTTCTGGCTCACCTGGGTTTTGAAGAGATGAGAAAGGCCGTTTCTCCTGCCTGCCCTCCCTGACAGAGAGGACAAGCAAAGGCAGGGAAGGTGATGGCATTGATCAAAACCCCAGCGCACATTACCAAGGAGATTAGAAAAACCCCTTCTCTGGGCTCAAACTGCTTATGTCTGCAGTTTCCCAGGGTCCGGTGGAAATTGTTAATATGGTTGTTAAATAACAGTTGGCAGCCAAGACGCTCGGCATTGACTGATACACAAGATTAGGCCAGAGATGTAAGAGAATGAATTGATTCCTTTTCTCAGGAATATCAAAACAAAGTTATAAGAACACATTTCTTGATCCGACCCAGAGTTTCTCAATGGTAGCTCCGTGAATGCTGCAGGTAGGAAACACCACCTTTGGGCGGCTACCGCGGCACTGTGGGCCCTGGCCTCCACCTGCCAGATGCCAGGAACAGCTGCTAATAAGTGGCAGCAACAATGCTTCCAAAGATTGTCACCAGTTTCCTGGGAGTAAAATGGCCAGAACCCAGGCTCTAATCAGCTGGTTTAGAACGCTAAAGAGCCTTGGCCAATTCCAGGCCAAGCCAATTCTAGGCCACAGGCTTGAGAAAAGATCATGGCTTTTGGGGGCTGGAGGAGCACAGATTTCTCAGATGCCGGAGGAAGGGAGCTTCCTAAAAGCTTTCTGTCCTTGTCCCACCATTCCACCAGGTCACAGTGGGGGGACAGCCTAGAGGCTGGGGCAATGACATCCAGCAATTTAGAGGGTCCACGGAAGTGGATGCTGGACCTCCATTCCATGGCACTGCTGTGGTAATGCGCCAGAGCTTCCCCTGTAGCCGTGATAAGGAATGCAGTGGAAAGCACTGGTGTTATGGAGAAGCCTTTGGAAGGTTCTGGTGTTGATGGGTGGAGGGCAGGGGAGTGTGTGGGAGACCCAGGGATCCCTGAGAGATGACCAATATGGGAACCAAGCCTTAATTAACAACGAAGACTCAGGCAAAAGAACAGAGAAGCGTGTGCGTGTTTGCTCTGGTGGTTGTGACACTGTTTGTAATGCCCATGTCCCACTTGGAAGCACCCTGCTTTCTGATCATGTACAATCTGGAAGGCGACAGGCGATGGCCTCGGGGGTGGCCTGTTGCGGCTTGGTGGGTAAAATCACTGCCTGTGACGCTGGCATCCCACGTGGTGCCAGCTCAGGATCTGACTGCTCCACTTGCGGTCCAGCTCCCTGGCAACGGAAGACAGCCCAAGCACAGGGCTCCTGGCTGCTTGCCATTGGAGAGATGATGGGAAAACTGTTGTTCTCTCCCTTTCTCTGTAAGCCCACATTTTCCAATAGAAAAAACAAATATTAAAACATATAGATATATATGTATGTATTTATATGTGTGTGTGTGTGTGTGTGTGTGTGTGTGTGAGGCTGTACTGGACACCTAGGACCTGTGTTGAGTCCGATTTCAGCCAGGTCCAGGTGCAGCTGTTGTGGACATTTTGGGAGTGGATCAAAACTTTGGTGATCTTTCTCCCTGTTTCTCTGATAATCCAATAAATACAAATTCCAAAAGAACAAACCAAGCAGCAGTCGGGATGGCACCAGGGGCAGAATCTGAACCCCCAGCGCCCTCTCCCATCAGAGCCTGGAGAAGCAAGGTGGCACCCTGACCTTGCGGAGGCACTGTGGAGGGGAATGGCAGGCTGTGATCCAGAGCGTTTGCTGTGATGGGGTCTCCCCTGCATTGTCAGTAACGGCAGTATTTTTAAGACCCCCAAATAAGATGGAGCATGAAAAGTGAAGACTCAGTTTTAGATAATGGTTCTATTTTTACTCCACCTCCACCTCCCCTAAATGTTGTCAAACTGTGCCTGTTGCCTATAAGTCAATGTTTTTGATCTTATTTCACAGAAAACACTTGCTTTTGGTGAAAAATATCTGTGACTGGCGTTTCAAATGAATGTCCCTTGAGATGGTCCCAGGCCACTAAACTCTTGGCCACTAAAATCTTCAAGCTGGTTGCACAGGACTTGCTCAGCCATTTCCGAACTGATTGAGAGACCACTAATGGGGAATGTTTGCCCCACAGATGCCTGCTCAGATAAGGAGGGGTTAAGGCACACAGAAAATCCAAAGTCCCTGTAGTGGTTAAACTCCTTGCCTTGCACGTGCAGGATCCCATATGGGCACCGGTTCTTATCCCGGTGGCCCCGCTTCCCATCCAGCTCCCTGCTTGTGGCCTGGGACAGCAGTCAAGGATGGCCTGAAGCCTTAGGACCCTACACCTGTGTGGGAGACCTGGAAGAGCTCCTGGCTTCGGATTGGCTGAGCTCCAGCCGTTGTGCTCACTTGGGGAGTGAACCATCGGATGGAAGATCTTCCTAACTGTCTCTCCTCCTCTCTGTATAACCACCTTTTTTATTTCCAATAAAAATAAATA